TGTCACTTATACCCACTAAAACGGACCTATGTGAATCCGAACAAAATTCTTCAATACGATCAACACCTTTTTCTTTTCCATTCTGAGTTATCGCAGGGGATTAGTCCTTCCGTCTTCTTTGAAACGAAGCCGCTGAGTACACCAAATCCGCTATCTTATATCGTCCTAACACAAGCTCATGTTGACAGCACAATATCAGGACACCCTAAGCGGCGTAATCTCATTGTTACTAGGTATTTTCAGCAGCGAAGAACCCGCAAAGAATGGACCTGGCGTTGCATTCTGTCAGCAGCAGAAGAGGCAAAGGAGAGGGGCACCAGATGGTCAAGCGTACATCAGAAACGTGCCAGCTGTCAGAACTTCCACAGAGGGCGCGAAAAAGTTAATAAATATCAAGGCGATGAGAGCCGCATGCGAGGCCATCAAGACTTTGCGGAACCCCCAGCGGTCGGCGCAATAGCCGTTGGCAAATACGCCAAGAATCAAGCCGCAATTGGTAACCATGCCCAGAGCCAGCTGCCACCGGGCTGGAATGGACCAGGATCCATTGGGCAGTTGGATGCCAAACTTGCGTTGGAAAGGCGGAAAGGCGAAGAACGAGCCGATGAGCATGAGGTCGTACGACTCCATGATGGTAGCAGTTGATACGGCGAGCGACCAGGCAATGGCCTTATGGTAATACTGCAAGGCCTCCCTGAGAGTTAGGGTCGTCTCTATTCGCTGAGCGGCATTGGCGGCGGCGTCTTGCGTCAGGGGCACTTTGCCCTGGGAAGTGGGACGGGTCTCCTCATGGAGACAGCCGATGGTCTGTGACTTCTTGGTGGACATTGCGGGGGAGGTCAGGGGGAGGTGAGCGTTGGTTGTTCTGCGAACAACCACCTGGGCAGAGATGGACTGGAAACGTTTGAGACCCTAAATCTTTTGTGGTGTGACTCTGTGTACGACTTCATGCTGGATCGTGTCGTCCTCCAAGGTACTTATACGTCTCAAATCTTCTCGCCTCGTAAGAACCAAGCGGCTGGTTTCAACGTGATCACGACAGAGATCCAGAGGATGGCGTTCGCAAAACTATTTCCACTGATTTGAAGCCACTACTAGGGGGAAGATCTCCGAAATATGCAGATGGCTGTTGTTGCAGCAAGTCTCTTTCCAAGAGACTGGCCTCATCATGCCTTTCTCAACGGCCAGTATGGTAATGGCGTCGCGAGTCAGTAGCAGTGGATTCCGGCAGTCGGCGCTCGGCGGTCCGGTCGGGCTTCCAGGGGGGCTGACTGCCCGGGAACCGAGGGCATTTTCGATTCAACGAGGCTTAGTGTCAGCGAACAAGCTCGCAGCTGACAGACCAAGAAGTGCTGTAATGGGTGGAGGGACGGCTCAGCTGGAACGACGGGGCGACTACTGTCCGCGGTGCTGTTGAGCGAGCCACTGCCATCCTCTTGCTAGCGAGGATTTCGATGGCAAACAGGCCTTGAGGATATCACAGCGAACATCGCTCTATTCCATAGACATTTTATTGATGGGCAAAACAAACGTGTGAGAGCAAGGGACTCTCAAATAGCTGATATACAGAGGAGAGGCAGGCCCGTTGCTCTGAAATCAAGGATGCGATTATCTTTACACCACAGCATGTGAGGTACCGTTCCTGAGCTTGAGGCTTAGTCTGGTGTGCACTGGCTCATCACCAATCTCCGCCATCTTGTCCTCTAGCATCCTGGTCATCCTCCGGACTGTGTCCTCGTATCGAGGTTCATGATAGCAGTTGAAGAGCTCTAGGGGATCCTCTTCACAGTCGAAGAGCTCCCATTCCTTTTCCTCCCCGCCAGGTCGTGTGCCTTCGAGGCCAAAGTCTTCATTGTACCAGTAAATGAGTTTGTAGCGCTGATCTCGGACACCATAGTGCGCATATGCCTCGTGAATGATGTCTCGGTGCATCCAGTACCGGTGATAGGCAATCTGCTGCCAGTCGTCGGGCGTCTGGCCTCGGAGAACTGGGACAAAGGACACACCCTGCATGTACGTAGGGATGCGAACTTTTGCTAGGTCGAGAAAGGTTGGCGCGAAATCAACGTTACAGATAATGTCGTTGCAGACGGACTTTGGCTGGATAGCTGGTGGGTAACGAATCATGAAAGGCATCTGGAAGCTTTCCTCATACATGAATCGCTTGTCGAACCAACCGTGCTCGCCTAAGAAGAATCCCTGGTCTGACGTGTATACGACGATGGTATTCTCCGTTAGCCCTTCGGCATCGAGCCAGTCCAGCATGCGTCCGACATTGTCATCTATGCTCTGTATGGTGCGGAGATAACGTTGCATGTATCTCTGAAACTTGAACTCGGCTAGCTCCTGTTTTGTTGTGAATGTGAAGACATCGCCCGTCTCTTTGCAGATAAGCCTCAGACCTGTGACATCGTCGGGATTGGGAATCTTTCTATCGCTCCACCACCACATGTCGATCATTTTTGACCCGACTTTACTCCTCGGACCTTCAGGTTGCACAATGCCTAGGTCTGTGTAGGTCAAATCGTCTGCAACCCTCATCTTTGCGACAGTGGCCGCCCTGGCACGGTTCTTGTAGTCGTCGGAAAAGGTGTCTGGAAGCCGAATGGGATCCTTGTAGAGATCCTTGTGCTTCTCGTCGTACTCCCAGCTTCGGTGTGGTGCCTTGTGATGACACATGAGAAAAAATGGCTGAGACTTGTCGCGCTTCTCCATCCAGTCAATGCACTTGTCAGTGATGATATCCGTGGCGTACCCGGGGACTACGGAAGTCCCCGACGACTCGATGAATTGAGGATCCCAGTACTCTCCCTGACCAGGAACCACACTCCAGTAATCAAACCCCGTAGGCTCGTGTTCGGCCCCTTCTCCCAGGTGCCACTTGCCGACCATCGCGGTCTGATAGCCTCCCGAACGAAGCTGTTTGGCCACGTTCGGTAGCCTTTTGTTGATCTTTGAGTCCAGCGTCATGACCCCGTTGACATGGTTGTGCGTGCCGCAAAGAACTGCGGCTCGTGAAGGAGTGCATATGCTGTTCGTGACGTAGCAATGGTTGAAGAGCATACCCTCGTTGGCGAGTCGGTCTAGATTCGGCGTGCTGTTAATACCAGCTCCGTAACATGAGATGGATTTGGCGGCATGGTCATCCGCCATGATGAAAACAATGTTTGGTCGGATTCCGTCGGCCATTGTGGCAGAGTTCGATGTCACTGATGTGGTTTAGGCGTAAGCGAGCGGCATACAAGTTGAGGCTTCTTGACCAGGTCGTAGGTCGAAAGCCGGCCGCCGGGTCTTTAAAGTCTCTTGACCTAGTCATCTTTTCCCCATTGTTTCTTCAGGAAAGGATTCCGCGTTGCCGTTGCAACCGAGACTCGAGGCGCTCAATCATGCATGCCGTGATGAAGATGATGGCGAGAATGCCACGAGGAGCCAACCGTTGTTGGCCACGCCGGGGGGTTCGGAGTGGAGGCTGCCAAAGCCACACGTTCGGGGTGTGCACACTACGGCTGTCGGCGATCGCGCTAGGGAGTCGGTCCTCTCCACACGACGTGCCATGATATGTCGTGATCCAAAGCGTGACATGGGGTTTGTACAGATTCATCAATTGAACCCCTTCGTGAGACATCTCTCGTAGGAGGACTCAAAAGTAGTCTCTGTCTGCCGAGTTTGAATGCTCGTGGCCACTCCAGATGTCATGCCATCCACCGGGTGTACCCAAACCGAAGCTCTCACCACCAAAGTCAAATCCACTTGCAAGATCATCCGCTGAATTCATAGTCAGATCTGCTGTGACCAGTGACACACGAGTCGCGGGCTGGTCGGTGCAAGGCAGCGTTTGCATGGGCTGCGTGACGCCGCTCGGGTGGCGACTGCCCAAGGAGTGGGTGTGTAGTCCAGCGTTCGCGAGATCTTTCAAATGGCGAGCGCCAGCTTGCTCAGTCTCGGGAAGCTCTGCAGCGCGGTCGCTGTCGTCGACGAACCGAGCTTGTCGAAGCATGCTGTGAATGCCTAGCCTCTGATGCTGTCTTGCAGCGCGGGCAAAGCGAGGGCGCTGGTGCGGCGTCTCTTCTTCGGTATCAGAAGGATCTTGACTTTGTTCCCGTTCTCCGGTTAGGTAGAGACCGACGATTCTTTCTAGATCAGCCAGAAGGTGCTTCGCAATCTGAGAGTTTGCAAAGATACGCTTAAGAAACACAGACACAGCAGACGCCTTGGCCAATGCAATCTCTGGAGTCAAGCCCGAATGGTCTGGGTTGAGGGGAGAACGACTCAAGAAGAGAACCAAACGAGACGCGTGGTAACCACATACCGCCACATCCATATGAGGAACCAGAAGGCCTGGGCTCAATTTGGACAGATCATTCAGTATCTGCAGGATAGCCTGTGAATGTACGAGGCATTGTGTCGCTGCAGCGGCCACATATTCCGCAGGCAGGCTTTCGATGACCGGCATAGGAGCCGCCTCTTTGTAACCAGAAAGAAACATCCGAGATATGTCGCAGTGACACTGGTGCCAGGACAAGTGTGTACCAATGAATCGCGCAAGCCAACGAGACCGCGAATAGATATTGACATCTTCGAGTGTACATGTTCCGGGGCTCATTGCTTGCAGATTGCGCTGAAAGTCGTCCACGATCGAGGTGAGTTGGGGTATGACTTGCCTGGACAGAGACACCTGGCGTCTTAATCTCATGACGTCTCTCCTGACGACGACCTGCTGCATAATCTGCCGAAGGAACCCACCCTCAGGGATGCCGTCGAGTGACTGAGACCGCGCTTCTGATTCGGGCACGAAGTCTTCCTCCTTAGAGGGAAACTCGAGATAGATGACCTCGTAAGGGCAGAGCTCACACTCCGGCAAGCCTACTGAAAACTGCGCATCCACCATCATCAGACACCATAGGACACGGCGGCGAATTTCCTGGGCTAGTGGACTGAGGTCCGTTCGCTCATAGTGCAGACGAAGAGCACTGGCAGCACGTGTTGCCAGAGCACATAGCATGAAAGCTTTCTGAAAGTTACCGATCTCCATCCGATACAGAATCACAAGCATGAGAGCTTGGGTCAGAAAGATCGACGGCTGTTCGATCTGCGACCAGATCCTCATTTCTACCCGTTGGACCCAGATATCCGTGAGGACCGGAAAGTATTTTGTGTACCTCAAATGAAGGGCTGAACACGATAACAGTGCCAGAAGCAAGGTCTCGTCCAGCGTGCCATCAATGCAGCGCTGCGTCATCGACGATTCGTTGAGGAATGCGTACACAGGCATGGGATACACATGCTGGAAGAAGTCGTTGACCAGCCGCAGTTGTTCGCGAATTGGCGGAACCACCACATCTTGGACTTGGGGTGGTCTTGAGTTGCCATGACTTGCCTGGCTGTCACGAAACACAGACGGTGATTCCGAGCGTTGTTCTAAAGAAAGCTGGCCGGGACTGACCGAGATGGCTGTGCCAGACTCGGGCTTCTCTGACGAAGTTTCGAGCGGCAGACCGAGTGAATGACTCTGAGAGGAAGAGAAGGAGCGTGCTGAATGAGAATTCCCCGTTTCAGGATAGACGCAAGTCTTGGCTCGACGACGGCAGCTTCCACAGCATGGGGTTTCGCCAGAGCATTTCGATTTCTGAGACCGACATTCTAAACACGCGCGAGCTCCGCGACGCCTTTCAGGGCGAGTTCGTGGATTGAGACCAGACGATGACGACGGCGTGGACGCTGTTCTGAACGAACAGGAGAATGCTAGCCGCTCACAGTTGGCACAGGGATCTGGTCCCCCTTCGCACCGTACCTGTCAAGCCAGTCAACCGGGCATGAACACTAAATAAGAGCCGTTCTAGGCGCAGCGGACTGTTCCGACCTTGCGTGACCTGCACTGGGAGCAAGTGTGACTCGACCTCGGCACCGGCATGTCCGATGTGCTGTGTTGCTTGAGGTATCGTGGTAGAGAGCCTGGCGTCTAGGTGGGAGGGAGTTTAGAGGCGTCTGAGGGAGAAGCTCAGGATCGGCCAGGAGTGGCGTTGTGCCCAGTTCCGACTGTGTTGCCAAACATCCATAGTAGCGAAGTGCAGAAGAAGAGTTTGTACGATGTTGCAGAGCTCGCAGGACCAAGGAACGTCATTGCTTGATGGACGGCGGATGTCGGCTGAGTTGACGTGATCGAAGGTGGCCCTGCCTTGCCAGGGGTGTGGAAAGAGGGCCCAACCGGGAGATGCTTGTCCGGTATAGGTGCATTCCTCTGAAGCGTAGTCAGCTCGCCATACATGTACACGGGTCATTTCGTAAACAGGGACAGGCTCCCGAGAATATGGCTCAGGACGCCGCCAAGAGATGGCCAGAATCGCAACCTCGCCCTCGGCACATCGAGAGTGCCAAATTAATCAGTTCACCCCATTCGTCAATCAATCACTCGTTCACCCGCAAATCACCACGAATAGCATGGTACACAGACACAGAAGTGCCGGGCCGGGTCGCAGAATGGGTCTCTGGCGGAAGATCGCATTGCACCCACGAGATGTTGCGCCACAGCGGGAGCGAGGAGACACTGGGCGGCCCCTATGCCGCCAGAGCAACGGCTACAGGTACCTTGCTCGTCTCTGGATCTTCACGCGTGCTGTGAAGACGTGAACGTGCAGAAGGAAGCGGGCCGTTCGGCCTATGATCCCCGCTCCCATGTTCCCCTAGCTTGTGTGTGAAGAGGCCTGAAGGTGCGAGCCAATGGCAAAGGTAAGCAGGCCAAAGACGTTGCCGACTGGCTTGTCACTTGCATAAGGGCGTTCTGTCAAGTAGCCAATGTGGTGGGCGTGCTGGCAGAGCCCGGGGATACCATACAATGTGGGCATGTTGAACCGACAAGGAGAGTTGACGATGTGACCTGAGTGTCTCATCAACCAGGCGAATGAGCGGATATCACCGTGAGTGCAACTCGCGACCTCTGTCCCCTCCAGGCCTACGGCGGCTACAGAAAGAAGCTGGCGCTGATTGATGCCCGAGGTCTGGCCATTACTCGCCACGGCCCCCCCAAATCCTAGCTGGATCTCCATACCTACCTAGGTAGGCAAGGACCTAGGTAGGTAAGGACCTAAGTAGGTAAGGTCGGCAAGGTAGACGGAATGGCCGTCAGCTTGGTTCGATAGCTTTCTCGTCACAGGCAAGAATTAAGCGCCGGCCACTGGAGGAGGCAGAGCCACTTCACACCAGCCGCTGAGCTCGCCGGCGGCAATCATATCCCTGCCCTCCAGATCTTGCTTGCCCACACTTCGCTCGAAACGATGCAGGCGCATATACATGTTTCTCGTCTTAGAGCGTGCATGAGATGAGCCGGCCACTGGCGAACAAGGTTCGCAAGGAAGGATACCTACCGCCTACATGTCCGTTACCTAGGTACCTTAGGTAGGTATCTAGCTTAGGTGCCTCTCCTGTAATCCCCGCACCAACCCCACCAAGCGCCGGGTGCTCAGTTCGGGGGCTGGACAGCGGTGGAAGTCCCACCTCACCTACCTGGCTACCTACCTGGCTAGGTGTCTACCGTACCTTAAGGCAGGTACCTACCTTACCTGTCCTCAGTAAGGTACCTAGGCAGTCAGTAGCTCGTGCCCCGCTCCCGTCCCAGATCCACGTCCCACGTCCCACGTTCCGTCCGTGTCTTTCGGATCACCTCTGTGACCTCACAGGAACACCATCGCAGCTTTCCCCTCAGTGTCGTCGCACGTTCATCACCCTCCCTCCTGCCACGAATTGCCTCGACCCGCGCCCTCGACACCACGCTTGCATCGGCAGCTCCCCAGGCACCGACATAGCCTCTGAGCCACGCACTGCGCCAGACCACGTACCGCCCGCATAAACGCCCAACCACACGCCCAAATCCCCCCCACCTACGAAAAGGGCGGCCGACCATACAAGACGACCACACTTTTCGCATACACACACGCACGAACCCAGCACTTCTGCGATCTCCTTTCCCTTCGACCAGCTGCGCTTGGTAGCTGGAGTGGCCGAGTAGCCAAGAACACCTCATCGCACCAAGCCCTCGGAGACCGAGATCCACTTGCCCACCATGACGCAGTCTCCCATGATCTCGGTGCCTCTGAAGAAGACCAACGAGATTGACTGGGTCGGGCCTCTCAAATCATACATCAGAGATACCTATGGCGATGATCCTGAGCGCTATGCCGAGGAGTGCGCTACCC